ATGCTTGTCTTCCCAGCAAGCATATTTACATAGCAACCAAGTTTTTTTCTGAAAACCCCAACTCAACCATGAGGAGTGGATGGAAGGTGCAATGGTTAGCCACTGAGAAACTTCTGTAAGAACTATGCTAATGTTTCTGAGGTTACAGAAGCTCTCAACTCTGCCAGTAAGTTTCCTGGCACACAGTGTGTAGCCTGCACCCACCCACAAAGCAGAATGTGTTGCTCCTTCAGTGCCTTCTAACTTCCCATGGCATTCTTCCCCTCATCAGCTATGCTTGGTTGTACTCAAGAAATCCTAGATTAACGACATGAAATTAGACATGAAGAAAAATAATTCTGCAGAACTGTCAAAGATGTAGCTCCTTGTCATGCTCTTGTAAACAGAAGCCAAAAAAAATGAGGCTACAGTTGGCTGTCCTTGGGTACCACCTTCTTGCCCCACCACGGCATGAATTATGGACAAGGACAACACTCCATTTGGCACTCCAGTTTGTCCTCAAATCTAAGTTCTCCTTGTTCCCAGTGCATGTGCACCCAGCCTTGCAACCTGGGCTGTCCATGCCAGTCCTCCTGGTCTGTGTTCCCAAAAATATGAGTTGCTGTCACTCAAGTGATCCGTGCTAAAGCTTAGCAGAGGAAGGGCCTTCTGGGCTCAGTGATTGGTCTGTTCTTACAGAATTTGTGATTTCTGTAAATAAACCAAACATGCGACGAAATAAACCAATAGATTCCTGAGACCTTGGTTTCCAGACAGACTTTCACATCCCTTTCCAATTACACAGTGGTCTTCTATAGCTGTCATATCAGTATCTATGTCTACAGCAGAAAAAAAAAAGCTGTTTTATTTCTCAACTATTTTACGTCTGAATTTCTAAAGTCAGCCTTGGAAGACACCAAGAGGAGAAAAATCTCTAGAGGGCACAAGGGCATTGCTCCATGTTTTGATTGTAAGTGGCTGAGCATCACCAGGCACAGTGAGATGCTGGGTTTGCCTGGCAGTCTTTTATTGTTGCTGGATGTTCAGACTCCCAAGGGCAGCATTCCCATGTAAGATAGTGTAGCAAGCTGCTGATAAATGAGACTTGGCTAGCTAAGCAGTGCACACGGCGTGCAAGAGAGACGGAGCCCCCTCTGACTCAGCCTGGGCACAGCTGTGGGAATAATGACCAGAATGCAGAGCAGCGAGAGGATCGGCCATCACCTCGCAGCCCCGTCACCGTGGCAGCAGCTGATGTCTTCTGCTTGCCACGCATTCCAGTGGACTGTCATCATTACTGAACCCCAGGAGTCTGGCAGTCACAGAGCCCTGTCAGTAGCAGCCAAGTCAATGCCATGTGTGAGAAGTTGTACTGGGAGGCCAATAAGAATTTGCTTATACTCCAGATATGTTAAAAAGACTGGCAGGAGTTTATGATTTACTACAAAAATGAAGAGATATGGATACTTGCGTTTGGCATTTTTCCTCTTAGGATTGTTCTTAGGCCACAGATAGCTTGAAAGCTTCATGGAAAAGAGTTTGTCCACTGTGAGTTTTGCTTCTATTTTGTTCAAAAGTTGGTTTAGTTCAAAATATGAGTGAAAATACGCAGCTTATTCTGGAGACCACTGACTTAAATAGATAAACCAATTCCCATCCATGCATAAATAACACTTCTGATCCTGAATATCAGCCTGGGTCCGACCTCCTCCTGTGGTTCTTCCTGCACATGTGGTAGTCTTTGGTTTCTGGCATTTCAGAAGCCATTTTCAGAAAGGGAAAGAATTCCAAGCATAAGGCAATACACAAATACATAAGCGGGGGTGCTGCCACAGAGAGAAGTTTCTCAGCTTTCCATCAACAGCAGTAGAATAGGAGTCATGGAATTAGTCAGCACCTCCAGCCCCAGGAGTAATAAACCACACTGCACTTGTAACAGCACACTCAAGCCCGTGGCCAGGCATCATGTTACACACGTTTGATCTCCTCAGTCAGGAGGCAGAGGCAAGACAGCCTCAAGTTCAAGGCCAGCCTGAGCCATGCAGCAGGACCCTGTCTAAACAATACTACTAAAATAAAGCCCTTGCTATCCCCTAAGAACTGTTCTGTCCCTCCTCTGGCTGATGCCTTGGAGGGCCACCTCTACAACCCAGATCAGCTGAGCTCCCTATCTGTTGGCCTTCAGTTAGGCTCAGCCAGTAGGGGCTAGAGAGGTCAGGAAGCCTCTGTTAGCTCCCTCCCTGTCAGGACTCGGTTAGGCACTCTACGAGTGGGTGCCTGGCTGTGGCTTCAACTCTGGTGCATTCTGCTAAGATATCTCTCCTTTGTCTCTAGGGAATCCCCCTGCTGTTGCCACCTGGTGCGGTCCTTAAATCACATGGTCACCTTTGTAAACAGTCTTTCCATTGAATTCTCCTTATTGCCCCTCTAAGGTGCCATTTGTTTCTTGCCAGGACACAGACATCGATGGCACCTTTGTAGGAAGTAGAAAAAGGCATTGAAATTAGCTACATAGGTTTGTTATATTAGCATCTCTATTTCTGTATACTTTGAAACTTCCTAAATGAAAAGATGATCCAGAAGAAAAAGGAAAGGAAACCATTGGTGGAGCTTGCACAGCTTGGTGGCCGCAGAGCTGAGGCTGAGCATGAGCCAGCTCAGTAGCCTGGGTTTGTACCCAGAATGCCCAGCCAAACTGATCAGCCCCCTAAAACAGTGGGTAGATTCCTGGTAGCTGGAACTGTTTCAGGAGAAAATGAGAGTCCTATTTAGACATATTTCAGATTTAAATAATTATGAACCAGAAAAAACAATAACAAAAATGAACAAATAAGCAAAACCCTCCAGAGCACTGTGCTGGGGGGAGGTCCCTTGCTTTTTCCTCCACTCACATAACACAATCAACACACATCTCTGTAGTGGGTAGCCATTCCAGCTTTGATCTGTAAGTTCCAACCCCCATTGAGACTTCGGCAACTGTCACGCCTACAAGGCGGGGCGAAAGGAGGCGCCTGGGGACCCGAGATCTGGATCGGCTGGCGCTCTCTCTGTTGCGGGACCCTGGACTAGAGAGGTGTACCAAGCAGAGCTCCAGAGAACACCGCTGGACTGCGATACACCTTCCCCAGACTCCGCGACCTACCTATCCCTTAATTTGTAAGTTACGCCATTAAATAAATCTCCTTTTATCTACGTGGAGTGGCCTTAATAATTTCACCAATATCTGGCGCCCAACGTGGGGCACGAACCCACGACCCTGAGATTAAGAGTCTCATGCTCTACCGACTTTGATAACCATTCCTTTGTATATAGTCTTGTATTAGGTTAGAACTTTCTTATTTAGACAAAAAGGGGGAGATGTAGTGGGTAGCCATTCCAGCTTTGATCTGTAAGTTCCAACCCCCATTGAGACTTCGGCAACTGTCACGCCTACAAGGCGGGGCGAAAGGAGGCGCCTGGGGACCCGAGATCTGGATCGGCTGGCGCTCTCTCTGTTGCGGGACCCTGGACTAGAGAGGTGTACCAAGCAGAGCTCCAGAGAACACCGCTGGACTGCGATACACCTTCCCCAGACTCCGCGACCTACCTATCCCTTAATTTGTAAGTTACGCCATTAAATAAATCTCCTTTTATCTACGTGGAGTGGCCTTAATAATTTCACCAATACATCTCTGTGACAATGGTATGGGGATTTCTTGCTACCAGCAAGTCAGCAATCAGGTCTGCAGCAGACAACATTTGGGTGCTCTCTAAATCAGTTCAGTCCCCCAAGACTGCACACACACACACACACACACACACACACACACACACACACACACGCACACACACATATACACACCATACCACACACTCACAAATTTACACTCACACCATCATATACACACTTCAGATGCGAGTTGCAGACCCCAGGTTGTTATCTGTGTGGGGCACCTGACTATAAATTAGAGTACCCCCATCCCCTTCCTGGGTCCAATTAATTTTCTTGAATATCTCATAGAACCCATTTTAGCGTTTTACTAGACTTTACATCTGCTTGTCCTCACTGGGCCTTGGCTTTCTAGTTCATACAATGGGGAAAAAGCACATCTCTCTGTTCATGGGCTGGAAGGCTGGAATTCTGCAGCATAGTTCCTGACGGGGTGAGCTTTGGACATCAACCACTGTCCTCTAAAGTGTTTACACAGAGGACAGACAGGGGAGTGTGAAGGTTAGAAAGATTAACCAGACGGCACATGTAAGGACCCTAGAGAAAAGGGGCATGGCCAAAGAATTTTGTTTGCGCCAGTGTTATGATCTGTTCTCCAAGGAGAAATGCAGGAAGAGAAGAAAGGAGCTTGGGAGGTGTTTCCTGACATCAGGAGTGGGAGGGCTGTACAGCTGATAGGGCACGAGCATAAGGACTCCCAGCGTCTCCGAACATGCTCACGGGCACTTTATCCCCTTTGTATAAAAACGCCTGAATGACATTAGACAGGATGTTGAAAGACTGACAATTTTGACAGACAAATAAATGTTAAGCTAGAAAAACATTAAGTCTTATTAGATATTAACTTCTTTTACTGAATGTTGACACACCTATCAAATTAGACCCAAGATGATATTACAAAATTAAAAGTCTAGGATAGGGCTCATTGGTAGAGTGTGTACAAGACCCTGGTTTAATTCCCAGCACTGCCAAAAATATAAAATAAAAAACCCTACTAGACATGTCAGAGGCATAAGCGATCACTGGCTCCTCCTAAAACATCCCAAAGATTTTTTTCAAGGCCCCAGAAGAATCTTTGTACTAAAATCCCCCTCCACTGAGAAAGAATGCCCTCGCTAAGGACTCGACCTGCTCATGTGCCATTCCTAACCCAGTTCTGAGTACCAAAACTGACAAAGCCAGGGAGGCTACCAGGGTCTTCTCTACGGTTTTCACCAGGTGACTTGGCTTCCTGTCTGAGATAGCAGGGCAATGTTTGGTTCTGAGGTCACTGCAATGTCACCTGACCCACGTCTTCCTCTCCGCCTTGCAGATACTTGCCTGAGATCATGAACGATGGGCTGACCAACCAAATCAACAATCCTGAGGTGGAGGTGGACATCACGCGGCCCGACACTTTCATCAGACAGCAGATCATGGCTCTCCGGGTGATGACCAACAAACTGAAGAATGCCTATAATGGCAATGACGTCAACTTCCAAGACACAAGTAAGGAAATCGGCATGAAGACCAGTGAGCCCGGAAGTGGGAAGTGCTTGTGTGAGATCTTTAGTTACATCTCTCTGGCCTTAATCATGAAGCTTTTCCAGTCTCAGCCACAAACCTTACATGCTAACTAAAATCATAATTCCTCTTAATGAACGGCTGTGTGCACTTGTATGTGTGGGTGTGTTGAGTGTATGTGTGTATGTGCGTGTGTGGTGTGTATGTGTGTGCATACCTATTTACACACATGTGTAGACCAGAGGTCGGCCTTGAATGTCATCCTCTCTCAGGTGTTATTAACCGTATTTTTAGAGACAGGGTCTATCACTGAGACCTGGAACTCACCAGTTCAGTTAGGCTGGCTGAGCTGTGAGCCACAGGGATCCTCCTGTCTATGCCTCTCCAGTGCTAGAAGTTCAAGTACACACCACCACGCTTGGCTGTTTCTGTAAGTCCTGGGGATCAAACTGAGATCCTTAATCCTGCACAGCAAGTAGTTTACTCGCCAGGCTCTCATCCCAGCTTCAGGGGAATTAGTTAGCCATATGAAAGCAAAAACATAATTTCATCTGCCAGTTGATCCATTTATAATAGATGACTGTTTTTAACCCTGTCTTTTCTATAACAACTTTTATATCTACTCCAAACTCCTGCCAACTCCCCCATTACCACCTAAAAAATGTTCCACAGATTTCTTGACAAGCTGGGCTTGAATCCCCATCTTGTTTCTCATAAACAATATCATAAAAGTTCCTTGAATTTATGATGGCTCAAAGGTCACACACATGCAATAGAAACTGTAATCCAAAGGTTGAATTTGGATCTTTTCTTAGGTTGTCATTATGTGGTATGATGCTCTCTCATGATTCTGCACAGAGGTTTTAAATCCACAAACCCCAATGAGTCCCAAGACCACAAGGGTAAACAATGACATTCTGTGAGGTGCTACGTTAGGCTAGAATGCTGTGTGTTGTATATTTTCTATTCATTTGAAATTGTGGTCTTTGAAAAATTAATGAATTTATTGGGATATGACTTCACTGTAAGTAGAGAAGAATCAGATCCCTCTATTACAAAGAAATTATTAAATGCTTAGGATACTAAAATTGTGAGAAAAAAATAATGGCAAAAGGTTCCAGCTAGAAAACTATTGGAGGCTCCTCTGAGGTGACTTATTAAAGAGCTAAGACAGTGTCTTGAGGGTGGTAAGCAGGTTCAATACATTATTTTCCCCCTACTCAGTTGTGCACAGACACAAACTATAAACATTTATATCTGAAATATTAGAGAAACAGTAAACCACTGAAGCAATATTACACATGACTGTTTCAGTGGGGATCATAAAAGCATTTGAAGTGATTTCATGGGCTCTCATAAGTGAACACTGAAATGAAGCTAAGAATGTTTGGATTTTGTCTAAGTGGCTTCAAGACGCATAGCTACAGAAGCAAAGGCTTTGTGGGACTTCTTCTCAGGTATGTTGGTTTTCTCTTAAGTGTGTAACCTAAGAGAATTCACAGGGAAAAAAGTTCTTGAACAGCAGTTGTAAAGCTGCCAATGCCCCTCAAGTTGCTCACTGAAGCTGAAGATGCATGTGTATTTGGTTAATGAGTTAGAAGGCACAAGTTACAGATGGAAAACATCAAGTCATCTCAGCTCTGCCACCATCTTACTGAGCTGCTCCTGCAGAACGTTTTTAGTGCTTTCTTCCATTTTAAAGAACTCAAGGATTCGTTTTTTCCATACAGGGTAATTACCACCACAATGGACTTCATTGCTATCAAATTTCTCAGAATCATCCCATTATCTCTTTTTGCTTTGGCTAGACCTCTCTCTTCCTCCTCAGAAGAGAACGCTACGCCAGCTTTTAGCCTTCACTGCTGCCTTATCACTTAGCCTCATGTTTCCCATTCTATCCATGCTATCTCTCCATGTAATAATGTGCTGTTTTACTTGGAGAGTAACTATTTAGATGAGTAATGAAGTTATGTAAGAATTATCCAATGTTGGTGTAAGACGAATCTTAAAAGGTCTTATTAGTAAAAAAAAACCTGGAGCCAGGTATGGGGTGAGAACTGAAAGATCAAGGGTGTGTGCCACCATTGCCTGACCTCTATGTCTAATCTAGGGGCTGGCTCTATGTCTGATCCCCAGATAAGTTTATTAGGGTGCACAATATATTGGAGTATACAATATATCACCACATGTTGGCTTCATTGCAGTTCTTTCTTTTCTAGCCTAGAAAGGTGTCATTCTGTAAAACTCAATGAATGTAAGGAGACAGTGAATTTTCTCAATTTCTTCTCCAAAGAAAACAGAAATGAAGGACGGTGAAGATCATCCCTTGGCTCTAACGCAAGCACTGAATGCAGCTGTTCTAAGACAGTGCCTGGCCTGTGAACCTTATCACATCCATAGCCACCACCACCCTTATTGCTTGTAGCCTTTTTTTAAGTGGCCCATTCTATCACCATAACACCTACATTTGTGATTCCCTTTCAAAAAGATTGGGGCCATTGTTTTTCACAGCTAGAACCTCTTGTCATTATTTGCTTCTCACAATTTTAATATTCTAAGTCACTTTAATAATATCTTTGTAAAGGTTATATTACCTCTTGCTCATGATACTGGTGTTCAGAACAATTCCCTTTGCAATTCTGATATCTCTCAATTTAATTAATAGGCATTTTTCTCCTTGTAAAGGCCAATAATGATAAGGCAGAGAAATGATAAGAACCAAGTATAATGTATTCAAATGATCTTATCTGGTATTTAGATGTCCCATTTGTGGGGGAACAGTGCTGAATGTCTCTTCTTCACTCAGGGGAACAATGTAAGAGTCCCTACACTGACTTGGCTTGACTTAAGTTGTATCTGAATCCAAAATGGTGCCCATGTCTCAGGAACAGTGAGGCCCAATAGCAGGGCAGGAGTTTAGGAATGTTAGTTAAACTCACTGAGCAAATGAACATAACAGCAAACCTCATTACAAAGATTACTATTTCCTGTGTCTTTCCAGAAACATTGTGTTGTTTGTCCCCATAACAGTTCTGGGAAGTGGACGTTATTATTTTTATTTTTACAGGTGAGGAAAAAGATGTTTGTTGAAGCTGTCCACTCTTGTCCGTCTAAATTCATAATGGTAGCTTAAGTGTTAGGCCACATTTTCTGGGGGAAAAAAATCTTTTCCATCTGGCATCATTGGCAGCAGTGAGTTTGCCTCTACCTTTTGCCACACACACAGCCTGTATCAACTGCATGTGTTCAGATATAGAAACTGATAGAAGTTGAATTAATTGCTCAAGGCATATTGACTTATTCAACAAAGATTTAGTGAGCATCCTGCTGCACATCAAAGATCAATGGCCACCTGGAAATGAATGGTCTATGCAAAGACTGTACCCTCAAAAAGTTTATATTCTAGTAGAGTATGGACAGTGAACAAGCAAACAAGCAAGTAAATAGTACAAGTGCAGATATTAGGGAGAACTTTCAGGTAGCAGGCACAGTGGGAGCTGGCATGGTAGAGGGGTTGTCTTAAACCATCTGCAGATACCCAAAGCCAGAGCTGCTCAAATCCTTGACATAAATGATTTGCATATGACCTATACACATTCCCTGATATGCTTAAAATAATCTGTGGATTCTTGATAACACCTAAAACAATAAGTCCTATGTAAATAATTGTTATGTTGTATTTTTCATGGAATAATGGCAAGAAAAAATGCAAACATGTTTGACATAGATACAGTCGTGGTAGAACTACATGTTACACAGTGCTGGGGAGACTGGGAGCCATGACAGAGCAGGAAGCTTTAGCAGGGTCTGTTCAGACATCATACCATTCACATGGGTTTTTGGTATTTGGCAAATTCACATTGCTTCTTGGAACTTTCTGGAATTACTTTTACTTCATAGTTGGTTGAATATGTCATCAAACATGAAGGAACCAAACAATGAAACATGATAATTGAACAAACCCAGAGGCATGGTGGACAGCAGGGGAAGATGCCACCCTCAGACTGCATAAGGTGTGGGCACTGAAGCAAGCAGGGACCGGCAAACTTGTTCTGTAAAGGGACAGGTAGTATGCTAGGCTTCAGAGCTGTACAGTCTCAGTAACAGCTGCTCTGCTATTCCCTGGGAACAGGAAAGAGCTGCAAGCCATTGGGGGTGAGCAGCTGTACCTGTGTGACAATCAAACTGTCAGCTTGAACTTCACATGTAGAATTCTTACAGTCTCATGATAGGATGCCCAACTGATTATTCCAAACATTAAAAGACAGAGAAATTGTCTTTACATTTGGGGACTCGGGGAAATAAGCAGCGGGCTGTAGCTTACCGACTCACTGAAAAGGAGTCCATCTTTGCTGTTGGACAAGAACACGGCTTGGGTGGGGGAGAAGGCAGCACAGTAGCAATGTCTCCTCCATTCTGCAGCTTTCTGCTGCTGTTTCTGCAGTTCCCTGCCTGCACTGCTCGCTCTTATTTTCTCTTTTACCTTAAATGCCCTTTTAAACATCTTTTGGAGAGGGTTAGGGTGAAATACACCTTTAAACCCAGCACTTGGGGGCAGAGATAGGAGAAGAAGCATGACTTTCTGGTCAGCTTGGGCTCTAAAACCAAAGAAAAACAAAAATTATCTTTAAAAAGCATGATACCTGTTTAGAGCAGCAGTACTGAAGTACAAAACAGCAAAGAACAAAACAAAGAACAGATACACAGATGATAGATACACAGATGATAGATACACAGATGACAGATACATAGATGACAGATACACAGATGATAGATACACAGATGATAGATACACAGATGACAGACAGATACATAGATGATAGATAGATACATAGATGATAGATAGATACATAGATGACAGATAGATACATAGATGACAGATAGATACATAGATGATAGATAGATACATAGTTGACAGATAGATACACAGATGATGGATAGATACATAGATGATAGATACATAGATGATAGATAATACATAGATGATAGATAGATACATAGATGATAGATACGTAGATGATAGACAGATGATTGATTATAGATAGATATGGATAGATGATTGATAGATAATAGATGATTTACAGATAGGTAGGTAGATGATAGATAGTTAGGGAGAAGATAGATGACAGATGGATAGATAGGAAGAATATAGATAGATGATAGATAGATGATAGTAGATAGATATATCTATATAGATGTATATATTTAATTGCATGTGTGTGTGCATGAGTTCATTGGCTCCACATATGGTGGAGCTGGAAGAGGCCAGAAGAGGATGTGAGATCTCCAGGAACAGTTACAGGTGGTTGTAAGCTGCCTGATGCTGATCCTGGTCCTCTGGAAAAGCAATACTGCTCTGAGCCTTCATGCCATGTCTCCAGCTCCAGGAACATAATTTCTTAGTCATTTAAATACTGGTCAGAAGAAGTATCTAATATCGGTATTAGATGTTGAGGCCACCCATTACAAGTCTGCTCTGGGTGGGTACCAGTGAATACTGCGTTTCAACCCTGTTTCTGGCCCGTGGTTAACCTGCCCATGAACGACAAGTCTAGGGGCCGACGAGCAGCCCTTTGGTGGAGTGTTCCTCCCACACCTGGCCGCCAACTGTGGCGCTGTTTGTCTCTATTCCCAGCTAAGCGCTCTAATTTTCCTTATCAATCTTCCCCACCAGGCGATGAATCCAGCGGCTCAGGCAGCGGCAGTGGGTGCATGGATGACGTGTGTCCCACAGAGTTTGAGTTTGTCACCACCGAGGCCCCTGCAGTGGACCCAGACCGGAGAGAAGAGGAATCTTCGGCAGCGCAGGGCAGCTACTCCCTGCTCTCCTGGCCTCTGGTCTGCATGGTCCTGACCCTGCAGAGACTCCACAGATAATCGCGGGCTTTGGTCGAATGAAACTGCAGTTTAGCTCTTCAGTGGCCAACTCCCTTCTTTTCTTACACTCTTGGACAACGGACCATGCCACAAAAACTCGCCGTTTTCTATGACAAGAGGGCAGTCTTGCAACCTGCCTCCCTTTTTGTTTTCCCAAAGAGTACCAGGTGCCAGAGGATCTGCTTCTGTCCTTCAGCTATCTGTGGGGACCTTGTTTATTCCAGAGAGAATTCTTACTCAAATCTTTCGTACCAAGAGATTTTTTCTTACCGTCATTTGCTTTTATGCTGCAAAATTAAAGGAATTTCACGTTGTGAGGGTTTTTTTTTCTAACACCCCACTTAGAATAATATAAGATAGGAAGAAAATAATTTTCCGTTTCAAATCAGGCAAAACCCCAAGACAACTGCCTTTTCAACAAGGAAGCGAATAAAGGAGAGAAAATAGAGGAACTCTCATGCTATCAGGTTTGGCGATGACAGCCTGGAGCGAGCTTCTCTGTGACAAGCCAAGTTTACAAAATGCTTCTGAGGAGAAGCATAACATTTTTTTTTTTTTTTTTTTTTTTTTTTTGTTTTGTTTTTTTTTTTTGTTTTTTCGAGACAGGGTTTCTCTGTGTACCTTTGCGCCTTTCCTGGAACTCACTTGGTAGTCCAGGCTGGCCTCGAACTCACAGAGATCCGCCTGGCCCTTTTAATGTGGTGGAAATACGCTGTTGTCTTGGAGGTATTGTCTTGCACTCAGCCCAAACCGATTTGGAGGTACTGATAGTAAATTTAGGATTCTGTCTTTATACAGCGGTAATCTTATTGCGACTTGACGCCTCTCTTTCACCCGCCTGATGGCGCTCACTGATGGCAGCATTTTCTGTCTCCTAACACCTGTCCATTGTAGCCAATTGGCACCGATTGTCTTCAGTTCTTCATGGATGGCCCTGTCAAGTCTTCTTCCTCCTAGGTCTTGACTAAGAATCATCTTCATTGGTACAGTCTCTACATTGGCCACCAGTCCGACATGAATTAGACATCTCAGCTCCTCGGCTCCTGACTGTCCCCCAAATAAGAGTTCTCTTACTGACAATGACAATTAGCTCCACACATGAGCTTTTGTTACAGACTCTTTGATTTGTGTCAATTGGTTTCTGCATCACGAGGGCATTCTCTTACAAAATAACTCACAACAACAAAAAAAAACAACTCAAGATAAAAAAAAGAGAGAAAAAAACACTATATATATAGGATTGACATGGAGATTTCTTTCACTTTTTTAGTCTTAGTATGATCATCTATTTTTATATCAATATATATATATAAATCACAGATTTTAACTTCTTAATTCCAAGCTCAGGGTTGACACTCCTTTGTAACAAAACTGTTTTGTCAACCAGCTCTTCTTGTTTTGTGCTGCTCAGAGAAAGGATTCCTCAGTGATCTGTGAGCACCAAGAATCAAGAAAGAGAACTTTTTATGTATCTAACTGTCCATCTATTCCAAGTTTGCCAGGGCACACCCTTTTCACACAAGTGTGTTTTGTCCCTGGTGCTCCAAACTGTCCTGAGCTCAGGGGACAAGCCCTGGTGTGCAAGATGTTACTGGCAATGGAATGTGTGTGTGTAAAGAATGTTATTCATGAAACACCATTGCTCTCATGTACAACACCTTTGGCCTAGGACTCCTGATGGGTACTATAGTAAATGACCTAAACTCCGCTACAGCCTAACCTCCCCACAAAGCCAGGCCCAATGCTTCCCCCGTCAGAGAGAAAAACAAAACAAACAAACAACAACAAAAAAAAAAACCAAACCGGGGTTATAGGAAGACAGTTGGCTAGCCATGTGGTTTTGGTTTTTTGGATTATTCCTTTTGCTTTATTTCGGATTTTGGTTTTGGTTTTTATGATGCATCTGGAATAGGGAGAAGAAGTATTTTAAGACACCACCGCATACCAATCACATTTTAACTGACTCATCGACAGTATTGACACATAAATGGTTCTATCTCTATTCTCATCAAAATTAAAATTAGTTATCGATTTCATCATCATCTCTAAGTAGAACACATGTAGTAGTATTAAGTGTATTTGAGCACTTTTGAAAACAAAACATATTTACAAGCATCTGTTGCTACTTTATGCCTAAAAAATATGAAGTATAGGATTCTGAGAGACTTTGCAGCATCTTTCATTTACATTTGTGTGAAGTTAACACTTAATCAAATCCAGAATCGCATCCTTTTGGAAAGCCGTCCAGCTCACCGCCCCCTTCAGCTTCTCATCACCACTTGCACATAACACATCTTTGGGAAGGACCAGTCATTTACGTTACTCAGCTCAATGTATGTTCAGAAATCAGTACTGTTTTTCTCCAATAATTATGGTGCAGTACAAATTAAATCAACTTTGATTCTCCAGGATATTTGAGTAATAATTTTTTATGGCTTTAAGCTCCAACTCTCTTTTAAAAATATTTCTGAATTATCTTCTGTAACACAAGTCAAAGATTCTTATTTTTTACAGTGCTTTTGCCTCCAAATGTTTTTTTTTTGCATGCATATGACAACACATTACATTAGTGAATGTGAAGCCATGTTCTGTGCACATTAATCACACAGATAATATAAAAATGCCTGTTTCCTTTGTTTCGACAACTGTACTCTCAAAGGTATTCCTATTGACAAGAAGTAGTAATGCATATGAGTCAGGCCAGAGTTGAAATGAGGATTGGCCGACACAGCCACATCATTAGTCACCTTGCATGGACACGGTCAAATTGTTATTCACTTGAACTTCCCAGTGATTGTCACCACCCATCATACGGTTTTGTTCTTTCTGTTCCCTAAGCCTTTTCAATGAGTTCCCCCTTTTCAGTACTGTGGAATCCTCCTCCCAAATAAATTCTCATTTCAGCAATGATAGGGGATGTGTTCACGTTCCATTGTCATTCATGGCCGGCCCTCATTTGTGATGATGTCCCCTAAATTCTGTGATCACATCATAACTTGTGTTATGAGTAGAGAGGAATGGGACCCGAAAATTGGACACTAGAAATTGGTGGGTGGTGCTCATAACTGCAAACACTTAGCTTATTGAAGTGCCTCTATTTACATGTTCTTTAGTTATAGTATGTATTTTTCTAACAGAAGTACATGTCTGCGATTGGTGTTTATTACACTTTGTATATGTTACAACAAAGGCTAAATGGAGACTAATGTCTTCAGCAGAGAAGAGTGAACTGTAAATTGATGAATACGAGCCCAATGGTCCGGGACCAACAGCCCCCAGACAGCCTTCTGTCACTGCAGCCACCACAGACTAGCACTGGAAGCCTGACTCCCTTACTGTGATTGGCCCAAGGAGGAAGGTGACAGGAATCACCTGCTTCTGTCTACACTGAAAAACACTATTCATTGATGAGCAGCAGTCTTTTTAAAAGGAACATTCTTTAAATCAAACACATTGGAAATGCTATTGGATGCAGAACCATAAAACTTGAGTTCCATTCCCTGCTACAGACATTAGCCTTCTTTAATTCTTCTCGCCATTACATACATATTTTGGCTACGGACTAAGCACCAACTTAAGTCCTCAAGGAGGAATAAAACTTGGTAAAATCCTGGCTTGCAAGTCTTTCCTCACCCCTTTCTGCAAGGCTAGTTATCAGGTAGTTTGTCTTGGGGTTTCAAGCGGTAACAAACGCAGGATTTGACTGCTCCAAACTCTTGCAGATACTCAAGCTCATGTTCTTTGACTTACAATCACTAACATATTTAAATTAAAACAATAGTGTAGCCTTGCAACCAGAAGAGGAAAGCAGTCCATAACTTTTAAATCTGCAATATGTTCCTCCTTGGTAGAGATATTAGCCAGTGCTTAGTTTTAGGCCAACTTATACAAACCGAGTACTGATTTGTACGCATTCTGGAGACTTGCTATGTCATAATTTGCTACAGCCCAGATTCAGCTTAGGATGGGAATGCTTGAGACTTCCTTGGGAGTAGAGTGGGTACTGGAATCTTTGGCATTGCCTTGTAATGAAGGACTTCATGAGCAACACCTGAGGAAGGTACCGCAGTGCAGTCTCTGTGTGCACATACAGAACACACATGCAGGAGAAATGTGTGCACCAATCAAACCTAAAATTTTATGTGACTGTCAAATGACTATTATTTGGGTTAAGATTTTTCATTTCTGATTTGGATAGAAAATTGCTATTAATCTTGTATTAAAATAGTTTTTAAAAATCTACCTGTGCCCTCTCTGTGCCTTTTCAATGATTGTCATAGTCTGTGTTTTATATTTTAAAATGTTTTTGTTCACATCATTTTAGAAGCATCAGCACTAAAAATCAGTAGTCAACTAAGTACACACAGTACTGGAAATTGTGAACCTCTGTACGTGTAGGACATTTGGTTTCTTAATGTGTGAAGAAACATTCAATCCCTCTTCTTCTGTTTCTTCTTAAAAAACACATGTGACATCATAGAGCTAATGTCAATACCATACAGACCAGGTCAGAAAAAAATAAGATCACCTATCAAAGGACTAACTCCTCTAAATGGGGCAAACTGCACTGACTTTATATTTCTGAGATGCTTCCATGCCCTCATTCATAATGAATACTTCAGCCCTCTAGAGACTCACTTAACAAACCCGTATGAACCTCGCCAAAGCACCTGCTGTGGGGGCTGTGTCACCGGTGTCCAGACACCATCAGGTAGAGGTGCTCAGTCCTCAGTACAGTTAACCATTACCTTAATAGAAATACATCATCAGTTTCATGAATACCCTTAAATGTAGGAATCTATATAAAATAAAGTTATCAAGAATGTGGCATTTAGCTGTAAGGAATACCACAGTTTAATTCTATTATCACCATTATGGTTTTCTGTAGCACGAATCTCTAAAGGGTCTTATTAATAAAAACAAACCCGGAGCCGGGTATTGGGGTGAGTGCTGGAAGATCAGAGAAGCAGAACAAGCCACAGCCACCTCACCTTGCCGATTTCTCAGCTGATCCTGTTTCCTCAGACTGGAGGCCTCTGAGTCCTCATCCAAATGGATCTCAGCTGAACTGCCTCTCGAAAGCCTGAAACTTAACCAGCCTAGTTCCTGGTCCTCAAGCCTTAGAACCTTTCTGCTTTCTGCCCTCACTTCCTGGGATTAAAGGCTCACTTCTTGGGCTTAAAGGCGTGAGTCACCATGCCTGGCTGTTTCCAGTGTGGTTTTAAACTCACAGAGATCCGGATAGATCTCTGCCTCCAGAGTGATAGGATTAAAGGTGTGTGTGCCACCATTTTCTGGCCTCTGTATCTAGTGGCTGTTCTGTTCTCTGACCCCAGATAAGTTTATTAGGGTGCACAATATTTTGGGGAACACAATATCAGCACAGTTTTCATTAAGCAAAGTGGTTTTCACAAGACAATTTGGGAGCCATAGAACAAATGCCCCTACAAAATCAGAATGTAACAGATTTGATTTGGAAGCAAACTGAGCCCAGTGTAACAGGAAGGAAAAGCATCAAAAGTGCAGTACTTTCCATTAAGCGGTAAGACTGTTTGTTTTGAATAAATAGTCTGGGAAAATAATTGTCAAACATGTGCATCAAAATGGCATCCACTCTGAACATACCATTTATGAAACATTGCCAGTTAGAGGTCCAATATTGTTTTGTGTCTTTAGAGCTAAAAAGGCATGGCTGCAAGTTTGAGCCTAGATGAACAGCCATGCATGGTTCCTGTGTTGTTGGTGTATTTCTCGGCCATTTATTTGATGGTGCAAATAGGCAGCCAGACATACAGTGTTGAGTTATATGTGGGACATGCAGCAAAGCCGGGAGGAACTAGAAGCCTCCTCCTAATCTGCCAAGGGAGCCTGGGCTCTGGCGCACCTTCAAGCACAACCAGAACAAGAAAAAGGAAATGTTATCACAAGAGTGCACCAGTGTGGAGAGAAACAGAAGGAAGGCTTACACATGGGACTCAAGAAGGTAGAAGAACCTCTACCTTAAATGAACTTGTCTCTTCAGAACACCCAGAGAGTTTTTGTTTTGTAAGAAATTTTTCATTGACTTAGGTAAATGACCTTTCTTTCTAGAGATAGGTGATGATCCATTATCATGTGCCAGCAACCGTTACAGGTATAAAAGCAGATGACGTGAGTTCTGCTTCTAGGCATCTTGCATCTTACCCAGAGTTCGGCAGAGATAGCCAATATATAAGTAAACAGGTGAACATGGAGACTTCAGACAGTGTGAGGTGCCATAACCGGACTTGAATGGGAAACGGCACTAGGGAGGAAACTCTCCTTAGCTGGGTGGTCATGGAGAGCCACTACCTAATGAAGCAGAGGAACAGCCATGAGAAGGTCTAGATGACCCTCTGACTGGAAGTTGACGGCACACCGGTCTCCAAAAACTAAAGATAGCACACAGAGGATACCTACCACACGCTTACTCTGTAACGTGGTGTCTTTTAACTGCCTTCTCTCTTAAACTTTTTTCTTAATTAAAATCCTAAGTAAAGAAACTGCTGATTCTGGGTGCTCGCATGCCTTTGAACTTGTAAGTGCTGTGAGTCAAAGCATGACACTTGGACAAGAAGTACATGAAGTCTGCATTCCCTTGCCTGTCAATTTGGCCTAGATATCACATTCAAAAAAAAAGCAAATTATGTACAGTGTCTTGTTTTCCCAGGGACTCTGCCTTTCATCAGTCTTACTTGCAGTTTATTTATCTGGTCTAATGATCAACGTGACTCAGGATATGAATTTAAACAATTGAGCAGTCAGTTAGTAGGAAATCGGCACGGCCCCTTTGCTGACCACTGTAAGAGCATCCTGAGAAGGACTATGACACAGAAAACTTGTCCATCTAAATCCTGATGCTGGTGGCCGTGTCTGTCTTGAACTTTTCTCTTTAAACATTCAGAAATGGGACCGTCAAGTTAAAGAGAGGTCTGTCTACAAAACCAGGTTATCCTCTTTCTTGACACAGCATGCCTGATATTAGTAAAAAAAAAGGCAGCTCATACCAAAGGGAGATTGCACACTCACCTTCCTGTCGTGACCATCACCGCATGTCCCTGATCTAGGCAGGGGTCCCTGTCTTGGCTTTACAGAGCAAAGAGCCTGCATGGTGAAGCCTCGATCTTCTTACCTGGCTTTGGCTGACCATCTTCATTTCTACTTCTCTCCCCCGCCCCGCCCCCTCAGGACACTCACACCCTAAGGATTGGATTTTGAGTTATTCTGGTTCCTGTGAACCTCTTCCTAAAGTGTGGAACTGACACAGCCATTCAGCAATAGGATCCCAGGCACCAGCTCTGAAGTGACGCTGGCAGAAAGTCACCGGACAGTTTTCCCAATCATCTCCAACTCTGAAGCATCTATTGCGGATTCTAGTATACTGCTCCTGTGTGTGAAAAATGAGATGCCCCAGATTATAATAAGCAATGAAGTCTTAGGCAAAGATGCTGTTAAAAGCTTGTTAATAATGCAGGAATGATTTTCATGTTTTATCTGTTTGTTTTAACCATTTCATATAAATTAGCATTTGGAAACTATTTTAATAGAGCCACAGATAAACCTGGCATTTGTACATGTGTTTGTTTTTTTAAGAATGAAGCTTTTTTATTTGTTCATTTATTTAAAGGAAATCTACATTCCAAGCAATCTGTATCTGTGCAGAGAGCTTGAGTCAGGAAAGATGGGTAAACAAAAATGACTTTTTCTAGAACACACTGACAATAGCTTTCCCACGCCTGAAATCTTGCTTCCTCTGGGATAGGGATGTGATCACTCTCCTCCTGTGTCTTAGGAGCAGGGAAGGTTTGACTTGGGACGGCATAGGAGGAGGAAAAAGGAATATTGAGTAGAAATCTGCCCTCCATCATGAGTATCAACTCTCCAGGGAGAGACACCCACAGTGAGAAAAATCAATTTAAAAAATCATGAAGGAACTTCGATACAGTGAGTGAATATTCTTATCTACTCACAAAGTATAGGTCAGAAGCCAATGTGTCCCCAACTTTCTAAGATAATCCCCTGCTTCTGTTCCAGCATAATGACTGACAGTACCTCTTTCACTCTCGATAATAAACTATAAGTTCAACTCAAGACTTAATAATGCCCATTTTCAAGATAAAATTATACTCACATGCGTATAACACCTCATACTTTTTCCCAGATATTTGTGTAGCTGAAACAAAGTAGGTAACCTCAGTCAAAACTAACTCCCGTGTTTACATGTATCCTGACTACTTGCTGCATTGAAAGCATTTGGAATTAGAATCAAGAATCCAGAACCAACTCTAGCATCATCAAGTACACTATTCCTGACCCACAAAGGCCTGGCACTGAACATGAGCCTGTTTTCATCCTAAAATGGACTGCACTTGGAACATGACCCCAGGGGGCGGTCTTTCTGCACCTCAGCAATTTTTCTGGTATGTCAGGAAGTAAAACACCCAGCAACAGTGCTTTCACACAGCTCTGTTTTGATCCATTTGCTGCAGAGAGAGATATAATCCGAGCTCCACTTTTTCTATTTGCCAGTCTTAGCAAGAACAGACCAACTATAGGCATTTTCTTTTGTTCTTCTTCTAAGTCACATGTAGGATTGACCCATGTTTGGCCATCTATTCCTAGAATTCTCCTGTATCCTGGCGTAGCACACATGATACATGAGATTTGCATTAGATGATACTAGTCATTTCCTAGGCAATACTGTGGCCTCCCCAGTTTCCCTCCTTTCCCCTCAGAGGGGTGGAAAACCAAGGAAATAAGAGGCACCAAGTGTTCCGGCTACGAGTCCACTTGGACTTAGAGAAAGGCATTTTAGAACTGTGTCCATTCGGTTACCAGTTCTAAAAAGCTCCTGGCAACATTTCCCATCTAATGCCGACATTGGAATAATAAAACCCTTGTGGTGTTCCACTTATCTTCTGGAATGATGTGTTCCATGAGAGAGCAAAGTGTGATATAAAGAGTGTCACCTGCTGATACTCAGCATATAAAATAACCATTTGCTTAAATCATTCAGCCCTCCATAGTGTGCCCCAGGCATGCTTCTGCAAGATCACCTATTCCCAGAATTTTCTTCCAAGGATTAGTTGGACAGAAATGTATACATTTGCATGATCTACAGACTAGAGATGGAAATTTCTTCTAGAGTTTGCAATATTAGATAAGATGTGAGATGGAAATTCACCTCAAATATATTTAATTATTCAGAGCCCTGCACTCTTACG